ACCCTTGACAAATCTGCTTCACAGGCTTGTCATTTCTGCAGCACAATTGATTTCAGATGGCATATTGATGATGTATATGACACATCCACTCCGAATGTCAATGGCATCATTACGAATTGCAATCTAAAGTAGTGGTTAGAACATCCAACCCACACCAAAAGTCATAGATTGGACACCATCCTCACCAATATCAAGTTAGTTGTTGTGAACTCTTTACATCTATCCGACTACAACCCTGTTCACGACAACTTAGACAAATTCCAGAAGCCACCACTTATCCATATCAATCAGAACCTTATAGAGTCCTATTGAACTTGGTATTCATTTCTGAAACTATTTAGAAAATGGTTGCTTTCAATTGAACAAGTACCTGTCAGTTACCTGTTTGGAAGAATCACTGACATTCTTATGTTCCAGGAGTTAATGAGCCACTATTCCGCTACTGCAAAATCAAAATAAACCTTCATTCTAAATACCAATATCTGTATGAACTTGGTAATTTAACCGGTTTTTAATAATACATATCTTACGATGAGAGTATGTAATTTATGTGTTCAATGGCAACTATAGACCCTTCTCTAATATCAATACATTGATGCATTATTTCTAATGTCATAACATTTTCTACAAGTTTATGTTTACGGGCAATACTGTAAATAATAATAGTAATAATGTGCTATATACATTTATATATATATATATATGCTATATATATATATATTTGTTGATATACAGTAGCTGGTTGTTAGATTATGTTGAACACATTGTTTGTCATGGTTTGTTGATTAATATTTGTTATAGAAACTTTCAAAATACTGTTAAACCCATCAATCACTCTGAAATACCACAATACAATAAGGTCCACTGGTGAATTAGAATGCAAAATATCTTTTGATAATAAACAAAATAGAAATTATGCAGTGAAACTGTGGTGCAGCTATAACCAACAACAAACATACACCTCCATTCTAATTACAATGGCAATTTTTGGCTGCATTCCATTAGTCCATCTTCCGTTCCATCTACCTGCAAATATGATTTCAAACAAGTATTAGCTATATTCACTTGACAGATGTGTTTTAACTAATGTAACTATTTGCACATTCACAAATGAAAGTGGTATCAACTGATTTTATTGTCACTTTGCATACAAGATTGGTAAGGTATTTTTAAGTAGTTTGTATTGAATATGGCGATTGGATCTTTCATCACAGTATTACATAGAATATACACTTGTAAATTATGAGACAAACGTGGAAATCGGATTGACTGTCGTTAAAATTACATGCATGAAAACTAGAAATGTGTGACGGGACAACAAAACAATATATGCCACCATACATTTGAACCACGGTGAGGTAGGACAACTGTGTAAATATGTTTTTCATGGTTTTGATCTGCATTCTACTTTTCACGATGATGCATTTTTTTTTATTTTCTCTTTTTTTTATAAATATTTGTTTTCCAATAACCTTAAGTAAGAATGCTTTGCCTGCATGTTTGTTTAATATATAAATTGCAGAAGCGCAAAATATGAATGCCATGACCGGCAAATTGGGTGTGTATAACATGGCTTGTAATTTCATAATCTTCAAGTTTCGCATTGCATTAGTGATACATGTATTATATTTGGATAAATTTGAAGGCGGCGATGATATTGCTGTAATTCCTGTGAACTTGATAAACAAGTTGATGATCAAGCTCATTTTACATTCAAACGAGCGTTCAGGGGGTCGTTCATAGTCCACGTAATAATGTCGAATACCCTTCGTCTTATAGAATGTTAAAGTCTAATCCTTTCGTAGCAACACTAACATTGATCACTGATTTGTTACTCAGTCACATTGATAACATCAATGGTATCAAAAACAAGGACAAATTTATATGTATTATGAATGCCCATACTAGACAACAATTACTGGGGTTAATTAAATATATCAAAACAGCGTATACGATAAGAGAGCAAATAATATTACCACAGTAGTTTACTTTTTCTTGTTTGTTTGTCACACTTTTTGTTTTGTTTGTTTTTAACTTTTTTACCTTCTACATGTGTAGAAACCAAAAAAGAATTGTCAAATTTTCTTTAACGTTGTAATAAAGCAATATTCTATTCTATTCGTAGTACGCATGCGTACTTATACGGTGTTCTATTGTTCGAAACCTGGCACAGTGGCAACAGTTCTTGTTGGTAATGAAATTTCGTTCTTAAAGGTAGGTGCCCGTCGCTAAGCGTCATGTTCGATTTTAAACAAACAGCGACTTATACAACATATGTACGATTTAGAATGGACGCTGTATGATGACTAGCGCCATTTACAGTGGTTGTATTTCATTTACACTGACAGTGTGTAATTTTAATGTTTAGAAGTGAATTAACGTGTTTCAATTCACGGAATATAATTGTTGTCGTACTGTTAAATGACTGATTTTCTGTAGATTATCCCAATTTGTTCAAATATATTTACTTCCTACTTGCATTCAATATGGCGTTAGACTCGATATATGTATGTCGCTTTGTCTAGACAAACAATGCTGTGACTCGGTGTGAACTTTGGTCTCAATTTGTACATGCGCTGTACATTCGAAGTGCGAAAGACAGGTGTTGTTGATGAAATTCATACAAAGAAATCTTTATTACATCATCAAGAGGGCCTTAATATATCAGATATAATACCGACTAATAGCTTTGAAAATAGATAAGGAAGTAACGATTTAATGCCAATTCATTACATCGTTCTTGCCATGCGCGGGGGTGTCACACTTTTGAAAACTCCCTTGTATTGTGTGTAGGACTTTGTCACGTGCAAACCCAACTCACAGTGGGTTAATCTAAGGGGAATCCCCTTTTTTCTTATGGCTAGAACAGTGGTGTTATGAAATAAATAGTTTATACACGTTCTTACCCTTTTAACTGCACTTTGTTTCTATTCAATATGTGGTGATTTTAATTATGTTTAATGATTAGATTTCAGAAGCTGTTTTGGTCTCATAGTCTCATTCCATGAAGTTATTATCTTTCAAGCAGGTATGTCGTATAATTATTTCATTATATCTATGTAGGAGTAAAAGTAGTTCTGATGTAGGGAGCACTGATTTCACGATTCACCTCTATGTGGTATAACTTAAACATTGATTTGCATACGTCAAAATTGGCTTTGTGCTATTACAACACGAGATTAAACATGTAGAAAATGTCACAATAACGTAGGGAAATAGTTCGAAAAGGCCATAGGATATGATGTATGCA